TCTGTTAAAGCTAGGCTTTGAACAGAGAGATTGGATTTGCAAAGAAGTTGTAAGTACAAGCTGCTCTTGCAGCCCAGGCTGGAAGGTGTCAAACTGGAAAATAATCCTGCCCCTAGCAGGGCCACACAAATCACCGTAATTTTGTGCCCCTGTAAAATAGACACAGATGATGAATCCTCTCTGAAGCCCCCAGAGAGTGAGAGCTACCCATGAAATATGCTGAAGGGGAGCAAAACATTATTTCCCTTCCCTGAGTTGTACTTTTGAAAGGCCTAAAGCTTTGGACAGTACAGGTTTAGTGCTCAAAGTTAGCTCCTGCACAACTTTGCTGGTTCTGAGGTCTGCAGTCTTCTCTAGATGAGATTTTAGACTGTGCAACTAAGCCATTGTGTTTTGTGTAGAGGAAGGTAATTTTTGCAAAGTCTGGAGTGCTGCCGAGGTTGCCTGCTGCACTATTATGAATGGAGTTCACCACCACTGTTCATGTACCCAGATCTTCACACTAAAAATATAACAGGAAAGATTCTTTGGGGTTTACAGTACCAAAATAATTGTGTATCTAAATGACAGCAATAAACGAATCCATTGCCTTTATGAACTGTATTCTGGGGTGGCTCTTGGGATGCAGAAAGCTCTGGGTGCCAGCAGAGGGCTTGCAGGGCTCCCTGCAACATCGGGGAACACCACTGCCTTTGTCCAGAGCAGCAGCCCTGCCAGGCCATGCTTCACTGTGTCTCCAGCTCAGCACTGCATCCAGATGTGACCCCAAAATGAGTGGCTCTGCCAGCTATTCGAGTGTTGTCATTTGGTCTTCTGATACAATTACCTGACCTCTGAAGAACTTCACTAGAGCAGGTTAGGTGCTGAACCAAAAAAAAACCCTTCTCCCCCCACTAACAAAGATCTTGTAATCTTTACTGCAAAGTCTGTTGTGAAAAGTTGTGTGGGATATCTGCTGACGGTTCTTCTAGACCTAAATGCTATCAGTCAAAAGGTGATAGAGCCACCTAAGAGGTAAGCTAGTTAGGCTTTGTAAGTGCAATGATCAAATTTAGAGGCAAAAATAACAAGGCTGAGAGTAAAGCAAGGGACATCCTGTGATCCTTTGAGGTTAAATACTTCCCATTTAAAGGGAACTTAATGAACTGCATGGATTGAAGCACGGTATATCCTTGAGTACCTACTTTTCCTTAGCAGTTTTCTTCTTTTTTCACCTACTCCTTGGATCTCTGAACCAGTGTGGAGAGAAAAGACACCAAGAAATTATACTTTCCACAATAATTTTCTACAATACCTTTTGTACACCCCCCATGCATTCATAATCTTCATGCATTCATTGTCTTGCTTGTCATTGAGGACTGTTGCCATCTGGATTATCAGTGCTGTCACCATCCCTAGCATTTATATTTATTGGGTGGACTCTGAGAATACCAAGCTTGTTGCAAGGCTTTACATAACATAATGGAAATGTATGTACTAATTGGTCATAAAGGCAGCATATATTCCAAGACCGTCAGTGTTGGATTTCTTGAGATCAGCAGGGAAGAAGATTACAGAGGTTAGGCTCTTACCTGATGGCCTATACTGTTACACTTAATTTGGGTCCTGCTTCTTCCTCTGATTTAGTGCATTCCAATCTTCACAGATACTTTTGGCTCTAGGATCCTATAAGCTTTTTAGCACTTCTGTTAATCTCCGTGTAAAGGAGATTTCCCTCTAGCTTTAAAATCCACTTCAAGGGGTTGTCCTGAAATATAAATAATTTTTCATGGCTAAGAAATTTTTATATAAATATGCTGTGATGAGGGAAATCCAAAAGCAGCTGCTCTGTTGCTTCAAGAAGGGAAAGAGGCATGTGAGTAGAAACAGATGCAGCAATAGAGGAGGAAATGCAAAGCGCAGGGGTTTTATTTTAGTATTTTATAATTAGAAATTGGCAAATTATATAAAGGGGTGATTGAATAGTTCACAGAGTTAGTAACAAAACAGCTCTGAAATCCAAGGACAGGAGTTCAAGGAAGTGTGGGCCTACAGGTATGAAAAACACTTGTCTGACTTGGCTTTGAGGAGCCAGTGTTGCTTCCCTGCCTGGCTTTGTTCACTTGCCAGGCTGCAGTCATCAGAGGCTGGGCACTGCTTTAATGCATCTGATTTCAGGTGTTATTTTCAGCAGAGTCTGTGTTTTAGTCATTCTTGACTTACCATTTGATTTTTCTGACAGGACTATGATACTGGAGCAAATGGCTCCTTGCTTGGCAGGCTCTGACTTGCTACAGATCTTATGTTAATGCTGAGTAAACCTGATGATTTTTGAGAGGAATTTAGGAGCTGAAGGTGGGACAAAAACAAAACTCAGGATGACAGACTGTTTTTGACCCCAGTTTGGAGTAGAGCTGGCAGGAGGCAAAGGTGTGTCTCAGTCATCTCCCATATAGCTAAAGATTTGTCTATTGTGTGTGTGTTCTTTTCTTAGTCATGTATTAAGAAATTTAACTGTTCTCTGTGTCATCCTGATGTGTGACAGTATCTCCTCAACTCATAATTTGTTTTCTTTATACTTTTTCTGCTTGTTCTTTTACTGAAAACCACATTCAGTCACTTCCTCTTTGTTGCCCAGAGACCTTATGACAGCAGACTGCCATACAGTACACCTAATTCCATTATCCTGCATTTATCTGAGTTTACAAATTAAAGATGCCATGGACTGTGATAATAGTTTCAGTTGCAGATAGCTAAAGCTACAGTCCTAAAGTAATTTCAACCTTAATACAACATGTAGGTGACATATTTAACTTAGGCTTGACTAATTCAAGAATGTCTTAACCAACTGCAAATTTTGTTCCTTACACTGCTAAAGGGATAATAAATGATGGTCCTCTGAACAAACCAGGATTGCCATCCTAAAAATTGCCTGTACATTTCTTTTCTTGACTTTGCTTCTCGGCTGCTCTTTAATCAATGATAGTGATTACCTCTGTGTAACTTTGATTTCTGTATAATAATGTGGATATATATAAAGGATTGTAAATACATTTTCAAATCTTACCAATCTAGAAGTTAATCTTCTGTACTATCTGACTGTTTTATTGTTGGAGTTTTCAGACTAAGCAGTTGTTGAACCATGATAAGTCTTTTTCCTGCTCCATTCCCACCTCTGCCTAGCTGCACCACCAGCACTCATTGCATTCCTGATAACATTTGGATTACTAATTTGTTACAACAAATTCCTCTATTCTTTCTGTTGTCTCAGAGCAGAGCTTCGAGTTAACTTTGGTTGCCTAATTTAATAATAAACGGAACTGAAAACCTCTTTTCTGGCTTTTGCTTCTGAATATGCCTTTCTTATTTATTATGTAAAAGGACGACATTATGACTATGTTGTACCATTGTGAGAAGCATCCCAGGTGAGGCTGGAGGTTCATTGGCAAAGCTGTGGGCTGAGGAAGGAGAGAGTAGGAGGGTTTGCAGCTCTGCCCTGTGGAACTTTCAGCAGAGTACATAGAGAAGATTACACTGGCTCTGCTCATCTCCAGCTCTGCTTCTGGCCACTGCTAGGAGTAGAAAACCCAAGCAGGTGACAAGAAACAAGCTCTGTGAGGATATACAGCAAGAACCACTTAAACTGACATTTGCACTCCTTGGAATAATTTGCGCAAAGCTTTTTTGGTTTTGGGGTTTTGTTGGTTTCATGGTAAATAAGAACATAAAGGCTGTTTGTCTGTTTTTGCTCCTGACAGTAGGTAGATAACTAGAGAACAGCAGCAGTAACCTCTGACAGTGCTCCACCAATTATGTAAAAAGGCTACAATATGATGCAGCTATCAAGTAAATACAAGCCCGAGAAACTTCACGTTTTCATACTCTGTATTCTTTTGTTTTAGGAATACAACATCCAAAAGACACCTCCCATTTTTCAAAATGAATTTTGACCTGTGTATTAAATGCTGGACGAGAGCTAAACACCACCAGCAAACTTGCGTCCTTGTGCTGAGGAATGTTTATGCAATTCAGGTAATATGATGCTAATTAAATGAACTGTAGATCATAAATGATCTCCAGGCAAGCATCTGCCAGTGGTGTGTTGCTCAAGTAATGGGAAAACAAGCGCTGACTCATTAACTGCGAATTCCCCATGAGAATGGAAACAAACACGGGTTTTGGCTCTTTTACTTCAGCGACGCTGAGATGGTTTAATTTTGATTTCACTGGATATTTTCACTCTCTACTGTGCCATGTTGTGAAAAAAAACCATCAGAGGCCAACCCAAACGAAACCCAAACCGGTTCCTCCTCCGGGACTCCACCCTGGCATCTCTGGCGGCGTTGGACATTGCCCGCTCGCTCACAGCCTCCCCCAGGTCACAGTTCTGCTCAGCCCACGTACCGTTCATCACCGCCAGCCGAAGCCTCTCCTGCGCCCGGCCCTCCTAAGGCCGGGGGAGCCTCTCGGCGGGGCCGGGCAGTGGAGGGGGGCGGCCGTGGCGAGGGGGTCGCGGCCCCTCTGCTGCGGGGCGGGCTCTGCACCCGCAGGACCCGGGCCAGGGCTGCCGCCCCACAAGCGCTCCGGCGGTGTGAGGGCCTGCCGTGGCCCCCGGGGCAGCCCGCGCCCTCCCCGGCTTCGCGGCGGGGCCGGGCGGGGAGGCCGGGCCGGGCCGGGGGCACCTCCCCGCGCGGCGGCCGCCAGTGAGCCCGGCCGGGGCCGGGCGGGGCGTGTGGGCAGGTGGTGCCGGCAGGGAGCCGTGTCGAGACGTGCCGTGTCGAGCCGTGCCGTGCGCGGCCCACGGTGCCGGCATGGTGTTGCAGGAGCCCGTCGGGGCACCGAATCTGTCGACTGCAGCGGGAGGGGTCGGTGATGCCGTCGCCGAGGTACGGCTGTCCCGGCTTCGCTGGGCCGTGCTGCTGCTCTTCAGCAGCTACTCCCTGTGCAACGCCTTCCAGTGGATCCAGTACGGCAGCATCAGCAACGTCTTCGTGAACTTCTACGACGTGAGCACCTTCGCCATCGACTGGCTTTCCATGAGCTACATGCTCATCTATATCCCCCTGCTCTTCCCCGTCGCCTGGCTGCTGGACAAGAGGGGCCTGCGCACCATCGCCCTGGCTGGCTCGGCCCTCAATGCCATGGGTGCCTGGGTGAAGCTGGGCAGCCTGAAGCCGCACCTCTTCCCCGTCACTGTCTTGGGACAGGTCATCTGTGGCCTGGCCCAGGTCTTCATCCTGGGCATGCCCTCACGCATCGCCTCGGTCTGGTTTGGCTCCCATGAGGTCTCCACCGCCTGCTCCATTGCGGTCTTTGGGAACCAGGTAATGGGCAGCTGCACCCTGGCTGGCCACGCGTGTGGGGCTGGCCGGAGCCCCGGAGTGCTAAGGCAGCAAAGCAGGGAGGGGTAAGAGATGCACATGGCCTGAAGGGCAGCCGCAGGGATAACACGAACTTACATGAAATTCCCTCTGGAAAATGCAGCTGGTATCTGCCATTGGTGTTAGCATGAGGGCTGATGGTGGTGGCAGAGACGAGTGGAACCTCCATCTACAAAGTTTGGGGCAGGATGGGGGTTAGGTATGATTCTGGCTTTGAGAAGTCTGGCTCAGGCTCTTCTCCTGTGCCCTCCACTTCTCCTGTGTGTGAACCTCCAGTCCAGGGCTGTGATTCAGTAGAACTATGAATCGTCTGGGGGGAAAGCACAGTGCTGAGAAACTGCTTCAGGCAGAGTGTCCTTCTAATCTTGTATCTGCAGTTGCATCTGGACTTGACACTGCAATATCCTCTTCTGGCTGCCAACCAGATGGGAAAAAGGAGGTTAGCTGTCTGCTAAAAACATTGTCATTGGGCCTTGGAGGAAAAGGACTTTAGCACTTTCGTATCTCTTAAAAGTAGGCACAGAGTTTCCACAAGCAGTTGCTTTGAAAAAAAGAAAAGTTCCATCAGGCCAGTGTGAGGTCAGCTCCCTGAGCACTCTTGTATCAATGCAGGTCCCGGAGGCCAGTGACCCACACTTGCTCAAGCTGTGACTGTCTTTTATTGTAGCCAGAGGAGATAAAAATTTTTACACAGCTTTGAAAGGATAAGGGAAATATCTTCTTGACCCTTGCACCGGAACACCTGCTCACACCAGTTGAATGAAGTGAACAAGGCAATACTGATGCAATGGGGTATAAGTAAAGTGAGCCTGACTCTGCAGCCCTGACACAAAGGAGAAAGTGGAACCTGGCATTAGGTGCTGGGCTGGACCTGTGCCCCTTGCTTTGAGATGCAATGTACTCCTCTGCATGTGAGTCTGCTCCACCCTGGACTATTCAGCCTGTGAGTGGCTGCCATTCTGATTTGAATGGTTTTCAATTCAGGTAGCTTCTAATGCAGGCTGCTTCTTCCTGTGTTTCTGTATTTATTTAGATACTGCTGAGGCAAAAAGAGGTGAATGCTTGGAGATGGTATTTAAGGAATAGTAGTTTGCAGAGCACCACTAGGGAATTAAGGGGACCACTTTACACCTTTTGGAAAGAGAAAACATACTTATCTTTCCTTGAATGCATCTAAGCTTTCCTTTTTGCTCTTATCATCCCTTCTAGTGGGCTGGTTTTAATGTGTTTTTAAATGCATCTTTTGAGTGGAATGCATGTAACTTGGCATGAGCAAATAAGTAACTGAGCATTTTGCTGTCAAGACTTTTTAAAAATTATTCAGGTGGAGTTACTCAACAGTGTGCAGTAGAAATCCAAACAATGAGGCTGTCAGGCTGTGCTGTATGCCTGTGTGGAGTCATCATCATCCCAAAAGGAGTGGCTTAGTGTAAAGGTTGCAAAAAACAAACTTTGGCTACCCTTTTGGTGCTCCACACTGCTCTGGCAGTTGAACTGACGTGACAGTGAGACCTCAGTTCAGTACATAGTCTTTGCTGTGTAAGCCCAGACTTTCCTTTTAGAGAATCGGAGAAGTCAGAAATGGTAGTGACTAAAGACAGAGCATACTCCGTAGGGAAGACCTATTTATTCCCATAGTCAAACATAATCACAGTGAATGAAAACTAGCTATTTTCTTTACTGGTGAGGTTGGGCAGGAGGAAGAAATGGAGGCATACATTTTTCCTGACTTCAGTTAAAGACTATATTAGGGAGTGTTAGCAAAAGGTATAATACAGTGGCTTTGTAAGTGCAATATGGTAAATTATTCCATATGCTCGTTTCTCTACAACTGTATGGTTTTCCTTTCCTTGCTGTGCCACTTAGTTTAGTTATTATTTTTATTGAATACCAAGCACTGTTCTCCCTCTCCATTAAGAATTGTAAGCAACTGCATGAAGAAGCAGGGAAGCGTTACTGCTTCTTTGCTATACCTGCCCTCTTTCTGCTCTTGCTCTCTTGGCCCCAGGCTGCACTTCATCAGCGCTGTCCTGAGGAAAACCCTGTCTGCTGGCTCATCTTGGTGTGCCGGGGCCATGTTTGCTCAGGACATTGCCTCTGCTTGCTGACTGATGGTAACCTTCAAGTTTAAAGTTAGCCCTGAAGAGTAAATCATTGAATCAATCAGCCAAGGTATTAAATACCCTTTAAAAAAAACCAAACAATCCCTAGTAAGGTATCAGAATCTCCTCACTTATTTCTGGCAGTATGTTGGCTGTGCTATACGAAGTGTAAAAACAGGTTAGATTAAGCACTCTTGAATCAGTGCTGGCAAGCTTCTAGAAGAGTGTCAGCATCTTCAACATGTGGATATGATCACATTCTCTTGTTTACCTACTGCTTGTTTTCATCACATTTTACTTTTCTGCATTTTAACAGGCAGATGTGTAGGTGTTTTTCCATTTTTTTTCCTTGTCATGGAAGTTCATGTGTGGGGAGGTATAGAATGAAGCTTGAGTGTTGGATGCTTTGGCATTAATATATTAGTGTTATTGAAAAACCACTGGTTTCCCATTGTTTGAAAGACTAGGAAAAATCTAGATGGGGACTCTTCCTCATGCTGAAGATCTGGGGTAAAGAAGCAGAAGTGTTATGGAGAGTTCACTAATTTTCTTCATATGTATTTTAATATTGGAAGGAGTTTGTCATGCTTATGAAATACAACTGTCAGTAGTAGTGTGCCTGCTACATCAGCAGTGTTCCCTGTGGAACACCTCGGTGCTGGATATCTGTGTGAAGTCCCGCACACGAGGTTGACAGGAGAGAGTAGTCTGAGTAAGGCCATGCCGTTACCATTTTGTTGGATTGATTCCTCAGCTGTGTCCCTGCTTGGGACTGTGGCTCAGACCTGACAGGCTGCAGCAAACAGGCTTCTAAACTTCTGTGCTGGTGGCAGACAGTCCATCATTCTCCCTGGTGATGGGACTGAAGTGGGAAGAAACTCTCTCCTGAGATACTGGCATTTGCTTGCTGGAGCAGCAGGTCTCGCCTCTTCATTTAACACACTTGCTCTTCCGCAGCGTGGGGATAAGGATGCACGTGGTCCTTTGGCATGACAGAACTAACATGGTGGTGGGGGTGTTCAGGTTTCATGGCATTTTGAAATGTATAAGCTGGAGTCTTATGGCCAGGTGCCGGCTCTCTCCTGCAGCTGCCATGGTGCAAGCTGAACTGCTATGCCTGGATTTTATGTATATCTCACTTACTAGTTTATCTCCCTGTTGTCACTTGATGGGCAAGGGGCATGGGCAGCATGGAGAGAAGTGTATAACTGTGTTTGTTGCACACAAAGAACATTTGTGGATTTGATTTGTATTCCTTTGCCACCAGTATTGGGTTTTTTGTTGATTGAGAGAGACCTTGTTCCTGTTTCTTGCTGTTTTGACAAAGAAACAAGCTGCTGATGGACTTGGGAGTAAGTAAGTATATGGGCCTGTTAAATGATCCTTTTGCAGTAATTTTTCCTTTTTTTTTTTTTTTTTTTTCCTTTAAGCAGGGCTTGAAAAAAGTGATGTGATTTGGGAGGAAAGAAAACTTCAGCCTCATATTAAGCTCTGCTTTAGGGGAAAAACCATGAACACCTTACAGATCTTAGGATCTGTCCCTGTTCTGATGTAGCTGCAATGTGACTTCAGAGATTTAGGGCTTCCAGAACAAAAACACCCTGAGGCTGAGGTTTTAGATGGTATCTGCAGCCTGCTAGGAATGCCAGTCTTGAGGTGATTAGGTGATGGCTTTTGAAATGGACAAACCTGGTGATAAGCTGTGAATGAAATTCAGGGAAATGGTCTCTGTCTCACTCCTGGTGGGTCTTTTCCTCTGTTTTGAACTGGGGGAAAAAGTCTGCCTCAGTGGCTGAGATGGATTTTGCCATGTAATTGGGTCCGCAATATCTGAATGGCCATTACATTTGAGCTGGTGATCCTACAGTGCTGTTTGTGCTGAGCATGTGCCATTGTTTGATGCCTCACTGATAACTGTACCTTTCTGTACCTTTTACCCTTCAGGGAAAGCAGCATCTTAAAGTCTAAGAAGCACTGTGGAAATGTATCATGTCCTGTGGATCCCTGTCTTCCAGTCTTTGAGTGGACTTCTAGATCTTCTTGGGCTGCTCTGTCTCTGATGGAGGATTCTCTTCCCTTCCAATGATTCCGTGTTAGAAATACGGACAGGTGGAGGTGATCTGTCTGACAGCTCTTCAGCTTGGCCCTGTATCTCTCAGAGTTTTAGCTATCAGAATGGAGAAGATTTTAGTGACAGTAGTTAATGGGTGACATTCTCCAGCCCTGTCTCCTTTCTCTCCCTGAAAAAAAAAAGGGCAGGGTGGATCATAGCACTTGGATCTCAAGGAGTGCTATGTGGCCAATTCTCCAAGATCCTGGACGTGGCTCAGTGTGGTAGGGCGTGCTGACCAAATAGCAATGTAGCTTTTGCAGGAATGCCCCAGTTTCTATAAATGGACATGATAGCCTGAAATTAACTTTTTTTACCCATTTCATCTGGTGCTCCCTTCCCAGACATACACCAAAGGCAGCTCCTCTTTCTCTCTCACAGAAGTTGACTTTTGGGATAAGTTCTACATGGGGGTTTAAATGAATGTCTGCAGCATTTATGATGGGAGGGCCTCCCCTACAGCAAGCACCTCAGCACTTGCTCTGCAGGATATCCACGACTGTCTGTGTGAGGTGACTGGAGTAGGTCCTTGACCAAAGTACATCCTCACTGAGGATTCCAATAGCAGCTGAAGTAGCTGTCAGAGCTGAAACCCCTGTGTTTTGTTCTCTTTCTTGTCTACTGCTGTTTTGCTGTGTTGCATTTCTTTCCCAGCAGACTGGGGGAAGGTGCATTCAAGGCTGACAGGCCCTGAATGACTTGCACAGGGGAATAGTCTTCACTGTACAGCA